TTGCATTGATTAAAAACATGGCCTTTCAAGTTAAAATTCTTGGTTTGAATTTATATTCGCTGCTCATTAGACATGTGATTTTGAGAACTTGTGCAACATTTTGTACCTCAGTTTTCTCATCTGTAAAATTAGGATAATAATAGCAGCATTGGACTGAATTGAGCGTTAAATGAAATATTATATACTGTAGAGTGTGTCATGTCACATGCAGTTTATCCCCCAATAAATATTAGCCATTAATCTGAATCTTTTTTGTTTCTCTTCTTATGTCAGCATCCAGGCACAGAGCTACATCACTGTTCACCAACAGTAGGATTTTAGCCTAGTGCATGCAACTGCACTTTATGCTCTCTAATATATTGACACTGTGCTTAATATTGCTCATGTTTTAATAGATGGCTAAATAGAAACACCAGGGGGCTGAAGAGATAGTTCAGCAGTGGCATTTAAGAGCACTGTCAGCTCTTCCAGAGGACTTAGATTTGATTCCTAACACCCACATGGTGGCTAACAACCATCCATAACTCCAGTTCCATGGGATTCAAAACCCTCTTCTGGCCTCTGTGGGCTTTGCACAACATGGGTGTACTTACATACATACAGGCAAAGTACTCAAAAACATGAAATAAAAATAAATAAGTAAATAAAAAATTTAAACTAAATTTAAAAAGAAAGAAACACCAGAGTGCATAAGTGTTCTAATTCAGCATCATCTATTCCTTTTCCAACTTGCAATAGTTGATTCATCCCATTACCAGATTATCTAGTTTTGCTACATAAGCATAGATCCCAATGTTTATCCCTACTTTCCTTATTCAAGAGTAAATTTTAGAATTAGAAACAGAGATTATGATATTAAAAATGTCAACATAAGGGGAGAATATGTCATTACATCCATCTAGTTTATTGCTACTTTAAAAAGTTTGGAAAAGACAACAACAATATTCGGATGCCATATGTCAAACCATGAGGTAAAGTCTCATTTTCTTTACAAAAGATATTGCACATTTACTCATTCATTCTCTGGACTCAGGTGTAATTTGTTGGACAGAAGATGCTGGGCAAACTCCACTTTCGTTGCTTTTCAGAAACATTTACTCCTAAATGGACACAAGTCACTTCACAGGGTTTAAAAGATTTTGAATTATATTTTAACTACTAGTTTAAAAGGAAATACCTCATTATTGAGGTAACTGGAGATTGCATCACACTAAAAAAGATCAAAACCACTGGTTTTTTTTTTCCTTAAGTTAAACTCACTTAACCTAAACATAGCTAACAAAACCTATTCCTTAAAATTAATTCAATTTCTTAAAAGTCATGGGAAAGTGAACCCCATAGTCAGGTTTCACCATTTTCCTAGTCAAAATTGCTAGTATTTTAAACAATGACTGGTTAGTAGGTGATCATGTTATAGCATAGAAAAAAATACAATTTATTAGATCTAGCCTTATTCATTTTGACTTATAAAATAGAAGTCATGCATAGAGTATTAGGTTACACAAGAAAATACAATTTATGTTTCTCCTTTAAAATGATATAACCTTATCTCAATGATTTTTAAAGTAATGATTATGTGGCAGAATAGATATACTAAACCACTCTTTCTGAATACTAGGCTCCAGTTTGCACTGTCCTGGGAATTTGAAAGTGTATATTTTACACTGAAAAAATTCTCTTCTCTAGGATTTTTACAATATCCACATTTTAGCTGATATCCACTCTAAAATTTCTAATTTTCCAGATATAAAAAGATGTATATATTTCTAGTTATTTAGTTTCCTTATCACATCATGTGAAAGCAAACAGTTTGAAACAGAATTTCAAAATCTAATGATGATTTAAAAACTTAATAAAAATATTTCCTTTTGCCAAGGAATTGATCTCAATTTATCAGAAGGACCATAGCCAAAAGTAAACTTAAATGGACACATAACAGAACATCAATTATATTTTGGCATTATGCTATCAGAATATACTAAAACATCTGGAAATACATTCAAATGGTTATTATACTAGTTTAGAGATTTAAAAGTGATATAACAATTTTAAAAGTAAAGATAAAACTCAAGACTCTATTTACCGTGATTTACTACATCTTGTAAAGCATTTCTACCTTGATTAATTTTTCTAAGTTTTCCATAATTAATTCTTCTGTATTGTTACTAGTAGAGTTAGATGCCAGAAATTGCTTATCATGGTTGCTCTGTAATTAAACTAGACAAATTTCATTTTTTAAAGTTTTCAAACATCGAGCTATATTAGCTGTATACTATTCTGTATTTGAAACACAAAATCAGTTGCATTTTCCTAGAACTGATTATGAAAAAGTAGATAAAGCCATGCTCATCTTTTCTGAGCTTTATTACAAAAGGCATTGAATAAACAGCACATCATAGATAAGGGAAAGCTGACATCAACTGGTTCCTGCTGGTAATAGTTGGCAGCATAACAGAAATCTCTGGGATTTTTGCAATTTCTGGAATGATTTACAATGTACTTATAATTCATTAACCAGAATATGAATTTCATATTTAGAGTAGAATTCATTTTTCTTAGACCTAGGTGTTTAAATCAATTTAATGTATTCTCTGCCTCCAAGGTTCTAGTGGCAGGAATGTCCATGTGTAGCTCTCCAGCAATCTTAACTGCCACCAATGCAATGCAGGAGTGGAGGTGCAGAGAGAGGGTGAAGAAGTGGGAGACCTGGCCTTGATGATTGGAAAGATTTTACAGAAGAAGGTACTTGCTCCTTGATGCAAGCATTTCAACTGTTAAGAAATATGAGGACATTTCACAGAGAGCAAACCTGGAGATGCTAACTGTGTATTCTTTGCAAATATAAGAAAAATTGAGATAAATTAAATGATCTGATTGAGATCATAACACAAGAACGAATAGGGGCCATTATTAGAATTAACTCCTGGGACAGAATGGTTCCTGTTCAGTCACTTGGTTTCCTCCCCCAGGGGAAGTAATTCTTCTGCCTGCACAGTGGTCTCCATCCTCTTCTGGCACTCCATGTTGCCACACCCTTTACAGGATTTGGCAAGGATGGACACAGAAAAACACAGAAAGCCTTGTCTTCATAAAACATCTCAGCTGTTTCTAAGATATCAAACAAACACACCCAGGTATATTTCTGGTCCCTTTTCCTCTACATTCTTCATCAAAGCCAGTGGAGTTTGTGCTGTTGCCACATGGCATATTCAATAAAATTTTGATACATTCCCTTAAACCTTCCATTTTTAAACTTTAATTTGTCAACTGTTCCCAGTTCTAAGAGATCGTAATTTATAACATGGGGGAGGTTGCAAATTTTTGGCTGAGAAAGTTGTGCAGATGTTTTTCTTTAAGGGGGAAGACTGTGACTGGCCATATGAGTAATGGCTGTGAGTCGGCTAGAAGCCCAAAGTTCTCTTATATCAGAATGTATAAAGCATTTTCTTACTGAAAGAAGGCCCCCAGTAGGATAATATATTATTACACATGATTCAAATTACAGGATCTGCAGCAGGGGAGCTAGTGACTGATTCAGGATAGTTGCCCCCTGAATACTGATGACGGGATCATGGAATGCCTTATGAATTAAAAGGGCTGTGGTTTCTTGTCTAACCCCTTCCTAAAGTGACTATGCCTATCATTGTGCTCTTTAAGCTTCTGAAACGAATCATGCACTATGAAACCATTGTCTGTGTTTTTAAAATTCCATTTCGTTGAATACTTACATTGAAAGCATACTTTTAAGAAAAAAATAGACAATGAAGCGCTACCATGTCTGCTAGAAAACCGCTTGCCTTTAATGCCAATAATGCAAGAAAGATAGGACTTAATAGAAATTGCATTGAAGTGTGACCCAGTTTTGCTCTTTGGAAGTCTGTAAAGCAACCTGAAATCTTTATGAGGCACATGTTTCACACTCTTTAGATATCTATAGGACAAATTACCTTATCCTTGAAAAAATAAATTCAAATGTGCGAGAAAAGATTACGCTTCTAAATGTTCTCTGTAGATAAATGAACTCCTTCATGAATATGATTTCATTTGGTCTACTCTGGTTATATAACAGTTCCATAAATTTGCTAAATGTATTGCACTGTAAATGGATATCAAGCATTTTTACAGAAATATTAAGGCAGATGTTACATATTACACCTTCTGAAAAACAGTTTTGCTGCAACATATTCTGAAATAATATATAAGCCGTTCCCTGGACTTCTTTTCAAGCTGGCTCTTGTATTCAGTATTTCTAGTAAACGGATGCAAATCAGGTGCATTGTGCTGCGGTGGAAAGGGGGAGATTTGTCCAGAAATGACCTCAGTTCTATTCATTAATAAAATGACATGTTGGCCCAGAGCAGTGAAGAATGAAATATAACGAGTGAACTTCCCTCCACAAGACAGATGTACATAGCAGTATTTTGGATAAAGCACTGTATGCAAAATGGCCACTGCAGCATAAAATCTGGAAACATGAAAGGAAGCCCTAAGACGCAGATCGCTTAGGAAAATCGCAACAGCCATCAAGGCACGCTAGATTCTCTATGACCTTGTTCAGCTCTAAATCCTGAACTGAAGAAAATACATATTTCATTAAAAATGACATCAGATAAACAAACAAAGATTTGTTTTTACTCTAAGCCTTTTTTTTTTTTTTTTTTTTTTTTTTTTTAAAAAAAAAAAAAAAAAAAAAAAAAGAGGACGATAAATCTTTCACTGTGATATATCAAAATAATTAAGAAAGCGGCGAATTCTGCAAGGTCAAAACAAAATAGGATTTTACTCAGAATCCCTTCTGGTGACTGCAGTCACCAGTTTAGGGTTTAGGAGTTGGGAAAAGCAACCAGAGAGATATAAAATAGCCACATTTTTTGCATAGCGTTTTAAATTATGCCGACAGAATAATTAATGGAAGGATCTAATATGGGGGGGATAAGAAGAAAGGGGGAAGGCTATGTTAAACAAAGTTCATTACTGCATGATGTAAATGAGTTTCTCACCAGTGATGTCACTGATTGGCTGAGCTGCAGAGCTGGCTTCAAGCATGGCGGGATTGGCTGCTAGCTCTTCTGGTGCCTGCCTGCTTGGGCAGCGGTTGAACCAGATACTTTCTGTCTCTCTTGTTGTCGTTTGAAGCAAATCTTGTTCAGCCCAGCTGTGTCTCCATAGTAGTGGCACCCTAAGAGAGAGTCTCCCTCCTGCTTCCCACAGCTCGTCTGTGAGGCGGTCGCTGCTGTGAAATACCAGCCCTTGGCACCAAGCCCAGACAGCATTCTCAGATCCATCTATAACACACATACAAAAAGAAAAATAAAAAAGCAGTTCTTTCATCTGAATTGCATCCTAAGGAGGATTAAGAAGGCTTCTCTTGCTACTGATTTGTGTTCTTTCAATTTGATGGTTAAAATAGTTTTTGAAATACAGTATCTTCTCATCTGCCATAACATACCATTGGCTAAAATTGGTTAAAAAGATAGGGGGAATCCCCCTTTCCCATGTTACCTTGATTACAGAAACATAATTCTTCGTTTTCCTCCTAAGCACCGTAACTGATGTTTTAGGTCCCCTACCGGAATTTTAAACTCTCACCAGATTTCTAATTACAGCCGAGTCATTATTTTCAGGTTAAGACATGGGATCTTAATTAGCATTCTTTTTTAGCTATGCGAAATGAGACAGGGCATGAAACAGAAACAATCTATGGAGAGGCAGAGACAGAAAAAAATCTGTGCAGCTTTTACAGTTGAGCTGACACCCCCTCCTTCCCAGCTCTCCCTCCACCCCGCTTGAAAAACAGAATGCAGTCATATGAACTTTACCAGACAATGGAGTACCTACAGGCTTTCCCCTAGACAAGTCCTTTATAACCAGCCAGTGCTATGTGCTGCAGACAGTGGCCAATCGGCAGGCTCCTTTCTGCAGCAGGGACACAATAGGTGCATTGGCCACACTGTCCTCCTGGACCCCGACAGCAGTTCAGGTTCATTTATTGTACACTGGAAGGCACATATGTCTTTAGTATTCGCTGTGAAATTATCTGTGCGGCTGCCTTTATTTCACCATAATTACATCAACCTAATTACTGCGCAAAAGCTGCACGGACACCATTTGCACAGAGTGGCGCATAGGCATGCATACTGTAAAAATATGCATGAACATGCTTAGTTATTTCAATAATAAAAATCCACCAATTATTTTCTTCCCCGAGCTTAATGCTTCCTCCACAATACTTGGGTGAATACAGTCATCATTTTTCCCTTCAAAAGAAAAAAGTGTGTGTGCGTTTGTGTGTGTGGTGTAATTTAAACATTAGTCTAGTCATTTATTGATGTGAGCTATGGGAGTGGAACTTAGTCAGCAAATAAAAGGTTATTAAGGACCTAGGGCATTTTCTCTGTATCACTAGGCATTGGAGTGAAGAAATACGAGAATCTGCATGCATCCTCTCAATCATGCTTAGATGCCGATTTATTTGCGGTCCCACCATCAGGAGCATCTGCATAAGCATCATCTGTGCATTTCCACACTTCATAATTATGGTATGCCTTGCAACATCAGTTTAGATGCTTGAATATTTAAATTTTTGCTTTTTCATTTTGATCAGCAATATCTAGCATAGTCTGTCGTGCAAATTGGTATTTTTTTATTTCATACATGTTGTATTTACATATTCATAAACAGAATAGCTGTATGGTCACCGATTCTGCAGTAGGAGATGAAAGACATGATCCAGCTTTCAGATGTTTAATTTCTAGAGGAGAATGCTAGCAAATAATGACCAGGAAGAGATGCTTGGCCATTTCATTTAGAGGTACCCCCACTGTAAAGAAAAGGATGTAGGTAGGCAACTTAAAGTAAATATAAAGAATTTGAAAAGGAAAGACACTTTTTATTATTCATGACCATTTGCCCAAACTGCAATGAAACAAGGTTTTTACAATGGAGTCTTCTAACTCAGGTCTTTCCAGGTAAAGGACATTTATTTATAAGTACTTAAAATATCAGGAAAGAAGATAAGCTCAATTCTATTTATTCTTATTATTTCAAAATTTCCATATTCCATAGTGCAAATTAGAATAGTAAACTCATGCAGTAACTTATTTCATCAACGTTTACCTGTGTTGATTAGTATGTTTTGACTTTCAACTCATGAATTTCTAATTGAGAATGGAATTCATCATTACAGTGAGTATGTGAATAGAAACAGTAACTCACTTATAGTCAAACAAAATGTGCACATAATGCATTACATATCCACACCAGAGAGGAAGAATCCCAACAGATTCTCATGAATATATATTTTATAATCCTCTTTTTTAATATTTGAAAACTTTCTGTCAGAAAACATAATTAAATTGTATTTTAAATTTTATAAGCATTTTACAAAGAAAAGCACAGGTCTTCTTGTCTATAAAATCCAAAAATGAAGTTAAGGTAAGAAGGATAGGGGTGGGTAAAATCTTAACTAGACTGAGAGAACACAGGGTCAGTTATAAACAACACAAACAATATGAGATAAAATGACATTTTATTTCTGAATTGTCACATGCGTAATAAAAAACAATGAAATGAAAAGTGTAAATTAGTTACCTGATACATTATGTAAGATTAGTCCCTAGGTGACTGAAGAAAATGTTCACAGAAAAGAAAAGCTTAGGTAGCTACTGTCTACTGTTTCGATGAGTTCACTGTCAAAGTTCAGTTTTCCTGAATCTTTGATAAAATACTGAAATGTAGTCAGTATCTTAATTGAATTATGTGTAACCTCAGCCCTCTTTTTCCTAGACCCTGCTCTTACACACACACACACACACACACAAACACACACACTCATAAAACATGCACACATACACCCCATTGTGGTTGCAATTGTTTTTCAAGAACTTATAGTTCTTCTTCCTAATCCTTTTAATCGTTTGGTGTAGTATTGTTTTTGAAAACTCTGAGAAAATCAAAAAGTCATAATTAATTACTAATGGTCCATTTGGCCAAGTGAAAATATAAGCAGATTAAATTCTAACAATATCATAAAATTTAAATTCCATTAACACATGGTGTGTGCTTGAAAATTTGGGGATTTTACATATATATATATGATTTTACTAAATATATTTCTCTAAGCAAGATAGGTGGATGGTTTTTATCTGACTTATTTGAACCAATAGAGATAGTGAGAATCATGAACAAGGGAAGTCTTCCTTAAATACTGAGACTCATTAATTCAGGAAAGAAAGAACATTCCTTGTATTATCAGATGTATGTGAATACAGCATTACTCTTGCTAATTTTCTTCATCCACTAACCAGAGTTTGCAATTGTGGTATTTTAATAAATTATGCAAATATGAGATAATCCTGTAATTAAATCTTATTTGGAATCATTTTTAATAGAGAAGTTAGACCCAGCTTACAGTTGAGACAGTTAAATGACTCATTTTAGATACGACATCCAAAGAAAATTAGTAACTGGTTTGTGTATTTCCACCCTTGTGCTGCCAACCTTATTAAAATACAGCTCTGACCTGCTGCTGTCAGGATAGTCTTAATTGGTTGAGTTTTAATACAGATAAGAAACTGATGGCCTCCTCCCCTAAGATCACAGGCACTCATTTATGAGCTGACTGCATGGAGAAGATGAGTGCCATCTGTGCTCCCAGGATCCAGGACGGCAAACTTCTTTATGAAGATCAAAAGCATAACCTTAGATTTATAATCATGATGATCTCACCAAAAGAATCAAGTCAGCACAAATTGGCCATAAGAATGTAAAATACCAGCCAATCATGTTAACTTTATAAATAATACAATGGCTTCTACAAGAAGTGCCAACTTGGAAAGAAATGCAAGACCAATATATTAAAAAGCAACTTGTTAGTCTCCTAAATGACTCATGCTTTAAAAACAACTTTACTATGTTTAATAAGTATGGAAAATATTCATAGTGTAATTAACATCCAGAAATCGACATTTATGTCTCTGCCTACACAATGAATAGCATTCAGATCACAGAACAAGGTAAAGTTCAACACCAGAATATTCTCTTGGAAGCTTTTGCTACCATAAATTCACAGCTTAAAGTTTCAGTGTTTGTGTATTAAATTCCAAAGGTGCTAACCTTAGATTCTTTACTAATGATCATCTTTCTGGGATTTGAGACCCTTACAATTTTAAAAGGTGTTACTGGTCATTCACCCAGTTCACCTTCCCTCAGAAAGACTCTTTTTGATGTAGAGTGCCAGGTAACTTTGTTTACACTGACTTCAAAAATGTTAATGGTGCACAATATTGGTAAAATTCATGACACTTCAGTTTTTAAAATTTATTTCTCTCTTAAAATTTTCAGAATTGTTTCAATTGGGATTTTTAGAAAAGTGCTTGTCAGTAGTATAATATAATAAATCACAGTATCTGAATAGCTGTAATATATTCTAAATAAATGAATCAACTAATCAGCAATACTCTATTAGAAAAACATCACAGGTCTTTAACAACTGTAGCTATGATGGTTATAACCACTATGATTTGTTATATAAATTGCTAGGAATAACAGAAAATGTACTAATGAAATAAAAACATTTAAGTTTTTCATTTTTCTTTGACAATTTCAAACATGCATATCATGAATTTTTGTCATTTCACTCCCAATTGTCCCCTATCATCCCCTCCCTCTCCCGCTGAGAAATTTCTACTTCCAACAATCAAAGGAACAATGTCTTAAACATTGCTGGCCAGCTCCTTTTCCTATAAGCAAATTACTGTACATTATCTGAACTGCTCTTAAGTAATCAAATGGATCCTTAAAAGAGGAAATGGGAAATAGAAAAGATTTAAGGGAACTTGCAACTGTTGAAAAATGATTTAGATGCTGCATTGCTGGTTTTCAAAGCAGAAATAGAGACTATAAACAAGAAATGTAGGTGGTCTTTAGAGCCTGGAAAAGAAAAAAAGAAAATGGATTCCTTCCCAGAGTCTCCACACAAGCTTACATGTCACTTAGCACCTCAAGTTTGGTGTGGTGCTGCCCATTTTAGACTTCCAGCTTCAAATCTGTCAGGTTATAAATTTATGTTGTTGAAAGCTACTCTTTGTGATAACTTGTTAAAGTAATTATAAGAAACCAGTAAACACTATCATTTGAGTAAGGAAGATTTTAGATTTAATCACTCTCCTCCCAAATGATGGTAGAAGATGTAGATTTACAGAACTTGTAATTTTAAGGAATGAAAAGCATTGTCCGTTATGGTACATGCTCCAAGCTTGCTTTGTCTGGAT